ACAGACAGACAGACAGACAGACAGACAGATAGATAGATAGACAGACAGACAGACAGACAGACAAAGAACAAATAATACAACAACTGAAATAACGAACTAAATGATAAATTCGTCCCACACACTTTTTGGGGGCAAACATTACAACGAATGAAACAGACAGACAAACAGAAAAAATGAACGAACGAATGAACGATCAATAGATAAGACTGCAGGACTGTAGATGTTTTTGCTCTGCAGATGTTTAGTGTTTGATTCTGGAAAACAAGTGAGCTTCTCATAACTTATATGGGTTTTTGAGAGCACTCATGCCAGCAAGTCAATAAATGCTCATATGACAACAAACAAACATCTCCACAAGCTCACACACGCATTCAGAAACACACCTGGAGGCAATAAAACACAGTGTGTGTATCTCCGGACTAGATGTATAGTTACAAAGATCCCTCAAAAACAATCATGTAAAATCAGACTGCTTGGAGAATGAAAAAGATAAAGACACGATAAAGGCGGAATAGGAAAAAGAAACCCAACAGATTCACAAACTTACATCCGACTGCTGGGAGGGATTTTGCGTCCGTCTCTGAACCAGGTAACCTGTGGTTGAGGGAAATAGCGAATGCGAGGCGCTGGTATTACGGCTCCTTCTCCTTGGGATATGGCTTGGGCCCGTTCCCCTTCCTCGAAACTTCCCATATCTATAGACAAACACAAAACAAATGGTAAGAGTGAGCAAATTACAAAACACGCATGTGTTAAAACTCTTATATAGTGCATATGTTAGCATTCAGCATTAAACGTCTGTCTAAATACTGACTAATAACTCCACTACAAATACAAACAGACTTTAATTTCTGGTACAAGTGCCTACATCAGTAGATAAAAAAACAGTTGCAGTATTAACGTTTGTCATTTTGCCAGAGACACAGCAGCATTTTCCAGTGTCTTCTAGTGCCTTTCACCATCTGCTTCAGTTGGGCAGTGTTTGACAGACGTGCTCTGACACAGCGCCAGACATCGTCACGGCTGCCGTCGGACTGGGGATGATATGTGCCAGCTAGCTATCGGCCATGACAGTGACCAGAACTGACTCATCCGAACGGACGTTCGCCATGCGTTAAATCGGCAGTCATTCGTATTTACAGCCCTATCTGATTCAGCAGAACGTTGTTGCAGGAACACAGACACGAGTAGCTAACTTCCTGTTTATAACGTCAGTTTATTCCTTCTGGACAATCCCTGAAAAAGGTTCGTAGAGCAACTTTTACTCTCAACTTGTATGTTTTAAAAGGGTAACACACCTAAAAATGAACATTTTGTCATCATTCACTCGCCCTGATGTCATTCCAACCCTGTATTATTATTACTTTCATAAATAACAAAAGAAGGTCTAAAGCAGAATGTCAGAGGAATAATGAAAGTAGTATGGGGTCGGAATGACATGAGGGGGAATAAATGAAAAAACGTTCACTTTTGGATGAACTATTTCTTTTGTTAGCAAGGAAAGTTCGAAACGAACACCATTTCGAGCTGCACGGTGTGGAATGTTTATAACGTCAGTTTATTCCTTCTGGACAATCCCTGAAAAAGGTTCGTAGAGCAACTTTTACTCTCAACTTGTATGTTTTAAAAGGGTAACACACCTAAAAATGAACATTTTGTCATCATTCACTCGCCCTGATGTCATTCCAACCCTGTATTATTATTACTTTCATAAATAACAAAAGAAGGTCTAAAGCAGAATGTCAGAGGAATAATGAAAGTAGTATGGGGTCGGAATGACATGAGGGGGAATAAATGAAAAAACTTTCACTTTTGGATGAACTATTTCTTTTGTTAGCAAGGAAAGTTCGAAACGAACACCATTTCGAGCTGCACGGTCTGGAAGAGATTTCAAAATCAAAGGCAGCATCTTTAATATCAAGAGCATTATTCATCAAAAAAGCTAATTACGGAAACCCACTTAAAAAATAATACAATATCCAGCATGGCAATGTCCTGCCTTTGATATCACAATGCCGTTTCCTGTGTATTGACTCCTGTATTTGATTTCTCTCACTTCATCCTTCAAATGAAACGAAAGGTAATTGGATGTCAATTATTGCACAGGTGCTTGAAAGGGAAATGAGGAAAGAAAATAAGGTCTAAGTACTTCCATCTTGACCAGAAGTGAAGTACCTGCACATATCCTGATATGAAAGGCCATAATAAGAAGCAATGGACCGATACATCAGTCAGTCCAATAACTGGACAACAGTCGGCCATTTTTAGGTTATTAGCATGGGCTGCTAACTGTGAGCACATGGCAGTTCACAGATATGGTAGTTCTAAAATGAAGATGGCTGTGTCAACTGATAATAAAACGGAGTCAATTTTGAGTAAACATTGTTAAAATACACTATTCTTCAAACATTTGAGGTTGGTACAATTATTTAATGTGCTTGAAAGAAGTCTCTTATGCTCACCAAGGCTGCATTTATTTGATCAAAATACAGTAAATCAGTAACAGTTTAAAATTATTGTGTTGAATATATTTTAAAAAGTATTTTATTCCTGTGATGGCAAAGCTGAATTTACAGCATCATTACTCCAGTCTTCAGTGTCACATGATCCTTCAGAAATCATTCTAATATGCTGATTTGCTGCTCAAGAAATAATTCAGATTATTATCAAAGTTAAAAACAGTTGTGCTGCCTATTTTTTTTTTTTGTGGAAACCATGACAGTTTTTCAGGATACAAATAAAGTTAAAATCAAAATGTTTCTAACATAAAAGTCTTTACCATCACTTTTGATTAATTTAATCTTTCCTTGCTGAGAGATAAAAACAAACATACTGAAAGAACTTTACAGCAAATTAGGCTCAAATTTAGCTACGGATCGAACAAGCATCCGCGAGCAGGAAATGAGTAAGGAGTGGAGCGATTACAGACAGGAAGTTGCTGTTGCTTAACTCACATACTCCACCGAAGAGAAATCAAACTTCGATAATGACCGAAAACAGTCGGCGAGAGGTCAGTGGGCAGTGAAACTTGATTCTGGCTTGAAACACCAGAGACTTGCCACTTGGTTCAAGTGCAGCAGCTGTTGCTCATGCTAAACAGATTATAAAACGGAGGAATGAAATTCATTCTGAGAGAGCGAAGTGATTGGTCGACACAACCTCATCAATCTAATGAGGAAGTTAGAGTGGCCCAGCTGTGGCATTGCAGAGGAACTTTTAATGAAACAGAGGTACACCACCTCACCAACAGCTTCCGTTCCTGTCAAACACACACACACACACACACACTAAGGCACAATTTGACCGTCTGGTAACAATCACACATGGACAAACAAACATAGAAATCCGAAGTGGTTGAGAGTTACTATGGTTACTCACATGCCACTTGTACTTCGGTTCTCCTCTGTAACAACGCTCCGACTCTGTTCCTCACAATACACCGATAGAAGCCAGCATGCGATCTGTCCAGAGATGGTATCAAATACCTGTGAGAGATAAAACATTGCAGGTTTACTCTTAAAACCACAATAATGACTATGCATGAAGCATGATGTAATGCCCAGCTGTCAGAGTGCCTTTCATTAGCGATGAAATATATGTATATAATAAATGTATATTTACATGCACATTGTACATATGTACAAATGACTCTCATTCATTCTGTCACCGCCGTCCTTCTCAAAGCGAACATCTCTGTAATCTGTCAAAACCGTCAGGCTCTCACACACACTTTTCATTTCAACGTATGCTCCTTATCTTTTATGAAGCACTCCTGGGAGAATATAAATACAGCTATAAAGTATAGATTTTTTTCTATATTCCCATCTCATTGTAATGACCTTGAATTCTTCAGCTTCAATGCCGAATGTAAATGTGTTTGTATTATCAGCTTCCCCTCAGTAGGTGGCGCTCTAACATACACAATGACTGTGGAAGTAAAAAAAAATAAAAAAATGTCACAGGTTTTAGTGAGGCCTACAAGTGAATAAATAAGCAAGTACCAATAGTTTTACATTCCTATTCCGGGACCCTCATTATTTTTATTGAAGCCAATATGGCAGAAAACCAACTAAGAACCACAGAACCAATTTGCTTTTCAACTATGAAATACTGAATTACACAAAATATGAATTTGATTATAACACTAAATCACTGATAAAACTCACAGCAATGAATTTCTGCCTTTATAAACGACACAGCAAAAAAATAAAAAATAAATAAATAAAACTCTTTAAAAAGGATCAGGTACAGTAAGATGTATTTATTTATTTATTTATTTAAAGAAATGAATTTATTCAGCAAGGGCACCAACTGTTCAAAAGTGACACTAAAAATTTTACATTATTAAAAATAATTTATTTTTAAATACATTATCTTCTGAACTTTATATTCATCAAAAAAAAAATAAATCCACAAAACATTTAAACATCACAAATGTTTCCAGCTTTTACAATAATAAGAAATGATCCTTGAGCAGCAAATCCGCATGTTAGAATTATTTCTAAAGGATCACGTGACACTGAAAACAGAATTAATGGCTGCTGAAAATTCAGTTTTACAATCACAGGAATACATTTTAATTTTTCATTATTTTTTACTGTACTTCTTACTAATAATATTTCTATATAGGGTTACACTTTATTTTAAAGTGTCCTTGTTACAGTGTAAGTATTTAATGCAGGATCTAGAAAAAATCTGATTGTGATTAAACCAGAAAAATGTAAAATAAATGAACAAAAGCAATTTTTAAAATTTGGGCTCCTAAACATTAGATCCCTCTCACCCAAAGCAGTTATTGTAAATGAAATGATCCAAGATAATAGTTTTGATGTACTCTGCTTGACTGAAACCTGGCTAAAACCAAATGATTATATTGGTCTAAATGAGTCTACTCCACCAAGCTACTGTTATAAGCATGAGCCCCGTCAGACTGGTCGTGGCGGCGGTGTTGCAACGATATATAGTGATATTCTCAATGTTACTCAGAAGACAGGATACAGGTTTAACTCATTCGAAATACTTATGCTTAATGTTACACTGTCAGATATGCAAAAGAAATCTATCGTATCTCTTGCTTAAAAGTATTCATTTAAGTACTGAGGAATATGAATTAACTACACATACTGTACTTACTATATGGTTAGGGTTAGGATTAGGGTTTGTCTTAGGGTTACTTGCATGTAATTATGCATAATATATTGTTATTTTAATAGTAAGTACATGTAACGTGTAACAAGGACACCTTAAAATAAAGTGTTACCCTATATAGTTATGTAATTGGCTTAAAAATGTCAAAATGGCACATTTCAAAACTGAATGCTAGCGTGCAGCTTTTCTCTTTTGAGTGAGTGAGTGACGTGGCATGTGGCCAAGTATGGTGACCCATACTTGGAATTAGTGCTCTGCATTTAACCCATCCTTAGTGCACACACACAGCAGTCCTCAGTCGTGGTATTGAAGGTGGGAGAGAGCGCTGTACATTCACTCCCCCCACCTACAATCCCTGCCGGTACGAGACTCGAACCAACAACCTTTGGGTTACGAGTCCGACTCTCTAACCATTAGGCCACGACTTCCCCTTTTTTTTGTATACACCAGCTAAAACTTCATTACTTTAATTTACCTCTTATTGTGAAGTGGATGAAATCGGATCATCTTCCAGACCATTTTAATTTAGTCAAACCACATTTTCTCTCAGCCCGACTGACCTGAACTCAAATTAAAATGACCTGAAGGCCCATGGGCCACACATTACCGAGCCAGAACGCTCTCCAGCCTCATGGATCAATGATGCAGAGAGATAAAAGAATGAAACTGCACAGAAATGAGCAGGATAGAGGGAAGGAATGCGAGAGGGAGAGGGAGATGAGGAAGACACTCTGCGTTTCGATCTAGATGCTTTAAAAAACCATTGACCTCAGATGGCAATCAATACAAACAATGGAGTAGAGACAGTAAAGAGATCTGTCCAGACACACAGAATGAGACTGAGAGAGAGAAGGAGAGAAAGATAATGAGAGCAAAGAGAGAACATAATGCGAAGAATAAGAAACAAGAAAAAGTCAATAAAAAAAAGATGAGGATGATAGAGAGATGGGCACAGAAACACATGCAAAAAAATGACAAGAAGAGGACAGTGATTGATTAGCCAGAAGCTGTTAGAAGGTCAGCTGTGTGGCTATTCAGTCAAGACGTCACCATTATCTGCCACTCAAACTACTGCTGTCTGAAATAGCTTTTTACTTCCAATATTGTGCCATTTTGTAGCATTAGAGTTTAACAATTTAATTTCCATTGTACAGTATTTTTCCCCCCAATTATACACTCTGATTTAAGCAGATTTAGGCAGACCAACTATGACAATAAATGGGAGAAATTGCAAACCTAAATAATAATATGGTGGAGATATGGAATGAAAATGGAATAGACAAATAGACTTTAAATAGACAAACCAGCTTTCGATAAAAATTAGAAGTGAACGGATATTAAATAGAAGCTGTACTGTACTGGCCACATACTAATATACTATATAATACAAATATTCTATAAAATATTTATATATTTATAATTATTTTATATACACAATTATATTTTATATAATTATATGTATACATTTATAATGTATAATTAAACATATTATAAATATATGTATATTATTATAAAACTAATATTATTAAAATGAACATATTTACAAATGTATGTATATAATGTTTATATAATAAATATATTTATATATGATATAAATTATATGAACATAAATATATACATGTAAATACATGTAAATATTTTCTAAATATATGCTGTATGCTAATGTATTTTTATATACATTATAAATATACACAATACACACATATATTATGTAAACAAAAAAACTTTTATTTTAGATGCGATTAATCGCGATTAATCGTTTGACAGCACTAATATATATATATATATGAATTTTATTATACCTTTTTAAATATTGACAATATTAACATAACTGCTTCACTGATCTCTTTTTTATGAAATTATAAAAAAGATCATATAAATTTCAGTCGTTCAGACACTTTATTCTTCATTACTATCCTTAGATTCTTACTTGAAGCACTTCAAAACATACCAAATTAACTTTAAGCCAGAAACTTCAAACACGGTCATCTCAAAAAGGCAAGTAATTGTCTGAATGAAAGGCATTTTAAAATAATCAATACATCCAGTCAGAAAAATGAGCATCACATACATTGACCAAAAACAAGCACCATATACAGATCTCAGATATATAGAAGAGCTGTTCGTGGCTATTATCTGGTCCCACACTGACTCCACACCTGTAGTTTAACCTACCGCTAGCCGTGAGAGACTAAGATTGTGTGGGTGTGGAGGAAAACGCCTGCAGTGGTGAAATAGAGTGATAGGGCTTGAATGACGGGCGTCTTGTTAGAAGTCAAGAGTTGAGGAGAGCTGTTATTAACAGACTATAATGAAGTATCAAACAATATTAGCGATGAGGTTAGCGGGTTGCAGATCCTGCCAGGCGTGGTAAATTGCTTCTTGTGTGAAGTATATTAGCGCTAATGGACTAATTAGGAAGTTTGGGGGGCTGGTGGGGGGTATACTTTTTAGTTTGATAGTGAGACGAAGCTTCACACATGCCCTGAAACATTTGGCTGCCGTCACCCCAGCAAGCTGAAAATGCTACATGCAGCTCAACTCTAGATAAAGAGAGAAGACTATGTTCTGATTATATATAGACTACACACACTAACGTTCAAAAGTATTGGGGTCGGTAAGATTTCTTTAATGTTTATGAAAGAACTCTATTATGCTCACAAAAGCTGCATTAATTAAATAAAAAATACAGTAAAACAGTAATATTCAGAAATTTTGCATATTAATAAATTTTGTATTTTAACCTATTTTAAAAAGTTATTTATTTCTGTGATGGCAAATGTGAATTTTCAGCAGCATATATATATATATATACATACACGCATACATCCACACACACACACTTTTTGTCTGGATCCATTGATTTATTCTATTGAAAATCTATTTATTCAAAAAATACTTTTACTTGAATATACCTTTTTGTGATGTGCATGTTTCTATTAAAATTAATTTGGTATGTTTTACAGGGCATAAAGTAAAAATTGAAGGTTAATGAAGAAAAAGAAAATGTCACAAAAAGGCTGAATTTATATGGTCTGTCTATTATATTTAGAAATCACTAGTTGTTAATTTGTTATCACTAGTTTTATTTTGATTTCCTGAGTCCGCTATTAGCATATAGCCCCTTAGCATCGTCAGCGTGGTGGCCGCTAATCTCGCTTACATTGCTAATACTCTATTCACACACATTACCATTGTTTTACTCACTGTTACTTGCTTTAATGGCGGATGTGTGTCTACATTTGAGTGCACCCAGATGTCCTTCACTCCGGCGCCGGGACACCACGGACCCTGGGTGCACCCGCAGCGGAAGACACGAGCCAGGCCCCGGGTGATG